TCCATGTCCCCTGGTTCATCACCTGCAGCCGGGCCTCTACTTGGTCCAGCACGGCCACGTCCAGGATGTTGACCTTGGCCTGCAGGACCTGCACGGTCTCCTGGGGACGGAGAGCAGGGTGAGGGGGGACATGGCAGCACCCTGGGATTGCCCCCCACAAGTGCTATGGGCACGGGGTCGAGGGGAATGGGACCCTGCGTGCCTCCCATCCCCTGCCTGACTCACCACGAGGCTGGTGCCCTTCAGCCCGACCAACAGCGGGTTCTGTGGGGAAGGAAATGGCATCAGTGGGGCAGGACGGGGTGGCAGGAAAGCGGCAGGGGAGCAGCCCCCGGCCCCTCACCTGGCTGTCGGGCTCCGCACCATCACCTCCAACTGTGCCAGCCGCTTCTCCAGTTCCGCAATCTGGAGGGAGATGAGGGGCTGAGATGGCAGGACACCCCATTTTGGGGTCAGGCACAGTGTACCCCCCACCTCCCCACACTCACCTTGGCAGTCTGGGCAAACTGGGCCTGCTCCGGCCTCCAGAACAGCTCAAAGGTGATGCTGTCTGCGGTGGGTGCTGGAGCTTTGGCAGCGCTCTTCCCCACCGCTGCCTTGCCGCACTTCGCCACCTCCAGTTGCTGCAGCAGGCGCCTGGGCAGGGGGACAAGGTGGGCACAGGGCCCTGGCACTGCCCTGTGGGGACACTGGCATCCTCCCCCCCGTTCCCAGCGCCCCGCTACCCCACTCACTTGGCCAGGGCGCCGTCAGGGTCTGCAAAGTCTATGGCTGCAGCGGGGCCAAGCAGCTTCTCCAGGTGGCTGGAGATCAACTGCTGCTTCAGGCCCTCGACCTGCCTGACCAAAGCCATGGGCGTCAGCTCCTCCTCCGCTGCTGACTCCTTCACTGTGCTCTGGGGGGGGCGAGGAAAGGTGGCTGTGTCACCCCTCCTGCGATACCTTCCCCACCAGTCCCCACAGGAGGGGTGATGCTCACCTGGATCTGTTCCACCTCCCTAACCAGCTCCTGCACCTCGTGCTGCAGCCGCTGGTACCGCTGCTGGGGTGTCTCTTTGGCACCGAGACCCTCGCCGAGCTGCAGAGAGGAACCGGGGAGGGGAGGGAAGGGGGTCAGGTAGGGGCTCACAGCCTGCTCACAGCACCAGGCACCCAGTGCAAGAGGTGGTGGCTGGGATGCTGGTACCCAACTCCCCTCAGTGCCCACCCATACCTGCGCTGAAAGGAAAGCAAAGGGATTGACCAGGGAGGAGGGGGTGAGGCCCTCAGAAAACAGGTAGGAACAGCCTCATGCTCACAGGAACCCCATCCTCAAGTGGGACTTCAGAGAGACCTGCTGGGGGGACAACACAGCACGACCCGAGCAGCCCAGTAGGCTCCTATATGCATCGATGACAACGTCCTCCTCCAAGTGACAGAGGAGCCAACGAGGAGAGGAGCTCTGCTGGAACTCATCTTCACCAACAAGGAGCTCATCGGGGATATGGAGGTCAAAGGCAGCCTGGGCTGCAGAGACCATGAGACGGTGGAATTCAGGATGGTGAGGGAAGGGAGGCAGGGACTCCCAGACCTGGGCTTCAGGAGAGCAGATGTTGGCCTCTTCAAAAGTCTGCTTGGAGGAGTCCCCTGGGATCAGAGGGAAGAGGGGCCCAAGAAAGCTGCTTGATCTTCACGGATCACCTCCCCCAAGCTCCCCAACGCTCCATCCCAACGAGTGGGCAGTCGGGCAAAAAAGCCAGGAGGCTGCCTGGGTGAAGAGGAGCTCCTGGGCAAACCCAGGCACAGAAAGGAAGGAGGCAGAGGCTGGAGCAGGGACAGGGATCCTGGGTGGAGGAGCGAGACATTGCCCGAGCAGCCAGGGATGAGGTTTGGAAAGCCAAAGCCCAACTGGAACTGGGATGTCCAGGGATATCCAAGGCAACAAGAAGGGTTTCTGTGGGCACCCAGGTGACCAAAGGGACAGCAAAGGGAAACAGGAGCCCGCTGCTGAACGAGGCGTGGGACCTGGGAGAGGCTGAGGCACTCAAGGTCGCCTTCACCTCCGTCCCTACTGGCCCAACAAGCTGTCAGGGATCACAGGTGACAGAGGCCGGGGAAAGGCTGGAGCAAGGCAGAGGTGACCTGCATGGAAGAGGATCAGGTCAGGGAATACTGAAGGAAAACTGGACCCACAGAAGCGCATGGGCACAGACGGGATGTACCCGCGAGCGCTGAGAGATCTGGCTGATGGCATGGCAAGTCCACTCTCAGTAATCTTCATGGCGTTCCTCAGGGGTTGGTGTTGGGAC